GCTAGAATATATATAATTTTTGAAATAAATATTATTTCCGTTGTTACTAAATTTGCCTGTTAAAAATGAGAACAGATAATAATAAACTCATGAATAAAAGTGCAAAGCATTTGAAAAAAGGTTGATCTATGACGATTATGGCTGACTGAAGAAAAAGCTAGAAAGAAAGAAGGATGTGGCAATGGCTTAGTGAGCAGATGCTTTGCTTTGCTTCCTTCCACCATCTTTCTTATGTATTTATTTATTTTATGTTGTGTATGAGATGACAATAATTGTCATGTGTGTGAAGTGCAGAACTTGCCTAGATTGCACTCACACTCACTCATGCATCAACCATTGATTGGAGTTTGGATCCATAAATAAAACACATGCTATTGCTTGTAATTCACATAATCATTGCATTAACAGGTATTTGCACAAAATATGTCATATTGCTTTGATGATGTTAAAGCCTGTGATCAGTAATCCCTATGCACATGTACTTTGTAAAATTTGTAATGTGCTGGTTGACTAGTTGTGTAAATACCAATGTGATTGTGCAAATACGTGGTAGTATATGTGTTCACGTTATTTCATCTTGTATTTCAGGAAATGGGATCCAACGTTGAGCTGGTATGGCCAGAGTCAGAGGCATATTCCTCACGGGTGAACAACTGCTCACATGCAAATTCATCCCTAGTTGTAATTCGAGCGAAGTTGAGTACCGAACAATTAGAAAAATTCAAGACATCATGCTTTGGCCATCTTCTGAATATAGATAAGATTCAGTTTGTGCATGGGGTTGTGTTGCGTAGAGTAGCAGGGCAGGGTGTGAAAGACTTGGATAGACTAAGTTTCTTAATAGGGTGCGACGTTGCTCAGTTCACTCGTCAGGATTTCTGTTTAATCTCAGGGCTTCGTTTTGGGGAAGTGCCTGAAGTTTCCAGTGGAGAAAGTGATGAAATTAGACTTCAGAAAAGATATTTTATAGACGAAGGAATTACATGTAATGCTTTAGAAGAAGCATTTGTGAGGTGCACAGAGGAAGATGACGTCTACAAGCTAGCTCTTGTTTACTTTGCTGAGTTAGTGGTTTTGGGAAGGGACAAACATTTGAACATCAATCTAAATTACCTGACCCTTGTAGAGGACTTGGATGCGTTCAACAGGTTTCCATGGGGTTCGGTGTCGTTTGACAAAACCCAAGACAGTCTGTTTTCTGCACCAACAAAGTATGTGAAAAGCTTTGAAAATGAAGAGGGAAGAGGGAAGGGGAAA